ATCCATCTTCACTCCCTCCCCAGGTATTTATGCACATGAATAAGAGGCTGCAGAGCCTTCTCTCCTCCAGTGTGAACAATCCCAGCTCCCCCTGCCTTTCCATGTGGCTCACATGCTCCAAGCCCTTCTGCACCTTCACAGCATACATCCATGTTCCTCTCACCCTGGGGAGTCTAGGACTGGACCCAGCACTCCATCTGTGGCCTCCGGAGTGCTGAGGAGAGGGGAAGGATCAGACCCTTGACCTGCAGGTGATGTGATGCTGTTCCTGATGCAGTCCTGGAAAGCCTGTAGGCCTCCCCTGCTGCAAGAGCAGACTGGACTTAACATAAGCTGTATGTGCCTTCAACGAGTATTATGCACATGGTTTCTCATTCAGTCAAGAAATCACACCATGTGCAATAAAGATGACAGCGGAGTAGCCACGACCACTGAAAGCCCAATTCTTTGAATATATACCTTATGAAATTGAGCTGAGGTTTTTCAGTACAATAGTGAAAATAATGTAGTGAAACTTGTATTTCTACATTCAAATAAAGACTGTTTTCAGAAAAGCTGAAGGCACGGAAGGGTCATCTGAGAAGAATAATTAGTAAGACATCCCCCCCTCCACCAAACACTTAAGTAGAGGGCATCTTCCTGTATCTATCACAGTCAGCAGCACAGCTTAAAAGAAACGAACTGAAAATTCTTCCCAGAGCGATCCCTGTAAGTCCCACTTACACTTACAGGGACTATGGATCTGTAGGACATTAAACTACACCATTTGAATCAGGATAAAAACTAAAGGTAATTTAACAGCTATTAAAGCTGTTAAGGATACATATTGCATTGCTCCCTTAATGCCAGTAATAGACCCATTTCATACCTTACCACTAATAATTTCTGGTCTCTAAAAATACAGGGTCCCATTACCTGGAAATTCCTATTTCTAGAATAGGGAAATAGCAAGGTCCAAATACACCTTTCCCTCATACCTCCAGAACAAAGAAATGACAGGAAAAGTCTTTAAAGCAGAAACCTGCAGTTATGACACCTGCTAGACTTTCAAGGGTTTTTATCCATGCAAAAAGATTACCACCTGTATGAATACCAAAACAGACCACAAGGAAGCGGACAACTAACAAAGACAAGCTATGGATCACTTAGTCACCCTTTCATGACACAGAGTAAGATGGATTTATTCAATTTATTCTGAAAGACACTTGTTCAGCAAGGCTGAAGACTCAGAATCTTCCACCACATACGGCCCAAAGCGACATTTTGTAGTACTTCACTAGCTTTATTTGAGAAACATGACCTGCAACTTTTCTGGAACTGCTGGAACAAAGGCAAATGCAAGCAAACACTTACTTACACTTAGGAGCAAGTTACAGCTTTGGGGAACAGCTGAGAGGGTTCAAAGATGGCAAGAGGAAAAAGAATAAACTGCACAGCTCAAGCTTAAGTCTTGTCCCCAACAAGGCAGTTGGAAGAAGTGAAAGAAGAAAAACCAAGCACAGCACTTCTCTAAGTCAATGGAGAATGTAATAAAAAAAGCTCACTCCTTCCCAACTGAAGAATGCACATACCCAAAATTACTGTTTACTCTTTGCAATTGGTACCCAACAGAAATAATTGGGCAATGCTTTATGACAGCCCAAGGACTCCACAAGTCAAATTTAAAGAACGAGGCAAATCCCCAAAGCACAGGAAGACAGACACCACACACACAAAACCTGCAGTTTATCTTGGACAGGAGAAATTAGAAATAAAAACTCTTTAGGTTCTTTCAGATCTCCACAAGATCACCTGAGGCCCTAATTTTAAGTAACAGCCTAAAGATTCAGAAAGGACCACTGCATGAATATTCATCCGTATCAAGAGAACTTAGGTATCCAGTAGTAATGCCAGTAGGAACCTCACTGCATCTTTAAGCAACTGTGTATCTGCAGGATTTGGCCCCAGGTCCAATCCACTCAGTCCTCCCGCACCTCAATTTGCACTACTGTAAGAGGAGAACAATAACTCACAGGGCTGTGGGCTTACCTGCTTAACGCATGCAAAGCTCTTTAGCATTCTCCTCCAATCCCCTCATAGATGTGCAAATCATTGTATTCTTACTGTTCTGGGATAATGACTTTAATTTGATGACTTACAGAAGGAGGCCTCTCAGCAGGGACATTTTCATCTGAAGGCTCCTTTACGGGGTGCTGGTGGGGGTGAGAATTTTGACAGCGGTAGCTCAGGGGGCAGATGTTGAAGGAATCTCTTTCTTTGCTTCCTGCCCTATCACAACCAGCTTGTGATACCTTCTTGAACAGAGAATTTGAAAGAGGCACTGGAACAACATGAAAGAGAATAAAGGACCTTGACATTCATTGTTTAAGCCAGAGTTTGGAATCTGAAGAGGAAAATGAGACATTTTTTATAATATGGTAGCTTAAAATAGTCTTTGCTTATCCGGCTCTTAACATATCCTACTCATGCAACACAGTTCATGACTGATCAATTAATGGGACAGCTCAAAATGGTTATTGCAAGACCCTTGCTTCTCCTGTATAGTTTATGCCATTTTGAACACTATTCTTCAATAGGGCACCATGCTAAGGATGCTGCTGGCAGCAAGCCTATGTTTAACCCAAATGCTGTTGACATGTCTGTTTGCAATTGTGATTATAAGCACCTGAAATAAGTGATCCATAAGATAATTTAACAGGATCGGCTTCTCTCAAATGAGTTTTGGAGGTCATCTCCATGTGTACAGACTTTTGACTCATTTCTGCAAAGAGTACGTTATTGCGGCTCTCAAACATGAAAATATTTATCAGCAAGTATCATGCATTATTTTTTCCTTCATAGGTTATTTTACACTGATGGCATCATTTACATTGTTACACCTATAATTTAGTTAAATACTGATAAAACTATTTCCTGGAGCAGATTTCTTATTCAACTGCAAGACCTTCAAGGTTAGCTTAAAAGCCTCCTTACAAGTAGATCTTTTCTTCGAATTAGTGGAGAAAGATAATTTAAATTTTGTTACTGTCCCAAATGACAAGATCTACTACTGGTAGAAAATGTACCTCTTGACACTGAAATTAGCTTCCATTTCCTTTGAAGTGGCTTCGCTAATGCAAATTCTCACTGAAGTGGAGAAGTAAAGAATAGTGAGGCTAAGTAACACAATCTTTTCAAGGGCAGTATCACAGAAATCTTACTAGTTGTTGAAGTAATTCCACTTAACTAAAGTGAAAGGCCATGTTGGAAACATAGTATGAACAAAACGCCTGCTGCCCGCCTTCCCACTCCCCCCAAAAAAGAAAAAAAACCCCAAACAATGGGGAAAAACCCTCTCACCCAACAGAAAAACACAAAAGATGTTACATGTCAAAGTTCTAGTAACACTTGTGAGCCAGCCCATCACTGTGAACTGCATTTGAACTGTATTTTGAGCTAATTAGAGAAGGAGTGCTGTGTATCTATAAGGCTTCATGTGTATGACAAGCAGTTAAAACTACACTTTACAGATTTTAGTATTTCCATGGATTTTTCCATTTCCATGGATTCTTCCTTTTGTCTTGTTAGTGGTATGTGTCTTGTTAGTTCAGTATTAATAAAAAAGTAACATCAAGAAACAGAAAACTATTTTTTAAGTATTTCCTTTCCTGTACTTTGCTGGTTCAAGTCAGTATGCTGATAGTATGTGCACTTCTCCACGTCTGCTGCTAGATGGTAGTGGTGGGGAAATAGCTTATCCCCTCTGATCCAAAGTTGGGAACAGAATGGGAAAAAAACCAACTTAAGGTTGTTGAGAAACCTGGGAGGAAAGGAAGTAAAACAACTGCAGTAACAAGGAAACATACTAACACCCACTGTAGTTTTCTAAAACAAAAAGCAGAGAACAGCTGACAGCAACCGGAGCAGCACTCAGGTTTTTTATCTTCTCATTATTAGTCTCTGGAGGGAACATCAAAGATTAAAGACTCCACACAACATCTCTGAAAACAGAGGAGAGCTGAAGTATGACACACCCATCGAGGCTTACTTTCTTCTAGACTGCTTCTGTTTTATTTTGATAGCAGAATGTCCCTTCAGAAAGTCAGCATTTTTACAGATGTTTACTGAAGTCTGCCAAAACATAACTGTGATTCCCTTTTTTCCAGCATAGCTGGTTTGGTAACCAGATGAAAAACAGATATTAATGTTTCACTGCAGAATTACAAACACCTTTTTAAGTGAAGAAAATATTAAGAAAAAATTACTCTAAACGTAGTGAAAGACCAGACCAAGAAAAAACACACTACTATGCCTTCTAAGTTGCTTGCATTCTTACAGCAAAGGACTTCTATAAACCTTTTAATAGATGTGTTGAAACTCTTAATAGAAGTAAATATCCCCGATGAAACAGATTTCAGGCATAATTTGAATATCATAGTTCAGTGGGAAATGACTTTTCAGGCAGTGTGTAAAGATCTCCATAGTCCTGCGATTGTGACATAGAAAAAAAAAAGTACACCTCACCGGGAAGTTTTTCATAGGATAGATTCATATGAAAAACTGCAAGAGAAAAGATCTTTATCAACATAAAATTGCATGAGATATTTTAAACCCTCCCAACCCCCAAAACACATCTGCATCATAATTTTAAATATAAACATGTGATATCATCAGAATTACTTGCTTATGTGCACCTCTGAAAAACAGCTAAAGGTAAAAATGAAACTAGAAATTACTAAGCAATAATACAGCTTTATGCAAAAAAATCCAGCAGCTTTCACAAGATTTTAGATCTACAGTCTAAACCAAAAATAATTTTGAAAATAAAACCTTAAGATACATTTAAGTAGCAGTTTTAATTTTTAATAGCTTTATTCCTAGATCAAAGTACTTACTGGATGTAAATACTACAAATATGATGAGAAACTACACAAATTTTCACGTGACTTCAGCTCAGGGGCATGTACTGAACAGAAGCGTAACGTGCAGAGTCTTCCAAAATTACTCACAGCACTTAAAAGTCAGGTTTTCTTTACCACTAACTTAGTTATAAAGAAGAAAAAACCAAATCCAAGCAATGTTACCGCTCCCATTTTTACTAATCTTTTTTCCAAGGTGGGTGATTTTTCTGGAAATTTCACTTGGCTGGGGTCGTTCTTCTGTCCATGCTGAGGCAGATGTTAAGTTCATGCAAAAAGTGCAACAAAGAAAAAAAAAGTTAGCGTGAAAACTTCTTAAGTATGTGAAGAAGTACCCCATCCTAAGAATCCACATACATCTAGGATTGGTATTTCTTTCTCTGTCTGTGCCCTACTTCAACTGAAATACATATATGCAAACCTTTACCTTATCTGATACTCAATCATTCTGTAATACATATTAGAAAAACAAACTGTTTGTTTACAAACTTACTCAGGAGTAAACCACACTAATAGATGCTACAAAAATCTAGTAACAAAACATTTAAACTCCAACAGTCAAGTATTTTAACAAGAACTTTAGCCATTTAATTACTAAAAAACCTGTTTTTTAAAAAAGCAAGTTAAATATGTAACAGATTAGACTTCCTTGAAATTAAAGGGAGAGTTGGAAAGTACCTTAGAAGTGCTTGCTCAAATACATGTTAAAGCTGAGTGGAGCCCTGTCACGAAGTGCAGCAAGGTTAGGTCCTAATTCCCTACCTTAGTTCATAATGCTTGGAAGGCCATCTCATTTACTATGTTTTCCAAAATCATATGCTACAGACACAACATGTACTGCTGGAAGTCTTGCAGTGACTAAGCTTAGCAAACATTACTGAAGATTTTAAGGGAATTTATACGAACTTATTATCTGTTTCACTTAAATTGGCATTTTTCATAATAAATGTTTTGGTGCTCTACTCATTCAAGCCCCACTATAAATTAAGTAGCATAAAGATGTTTGGTATTAATGTCTTCATGAGTGAAATTCAGAAAACACTACAGTATTTTAATAGAAGGAATTACATTTTTTGAAGTAATTAGGAGGCTAATGTTTAACACTGGGTACAGAGCCACTGTGCTTTATCTTGACAGCTGTAAAACCTTAAGTACAGATAAATGCAAAGTCAAGTGGCACCTAACTCAGATGCTCCCCAGCCCTTATTACTGGCCTGCACATACAGGAGGCAAATATACACATACAATTAATTTCCGCATATGCAAAAAAAGGAACACAAAGAGCTAAAGAGTTCTTTGCCACAACCTCTATATAACACCAAATATATTTAAGAGGTAAGTGATTTATTGGGAGAAGGTTGTTATATTACATTAAATTTACTTAAACTACAGGAAATTGCATTAGTAGCGTTATATTCAAGGTCTGAGTTCCACATGGCTTCATTCAGCAACAGATTCCTTTCTGACACTGATGCTCCATTTACTCTACCCCAGCAGCCATTCCTTTTACTAGCCTATTACTTAAAATGACCCCTTCTGACAAGAGCGTGTCACTGTGTTGGTTTGAGAATGACTGATGTGGTGCTAACATCTAGTCTTGACCTCTCCCATCCTTTCCTTTTGTCACTCTGCAGAGTCATCTGGGATGCCTCCCACTCTATCCATAAAACCTTAGTATCTTCCTCGTGAGTCAATAACTCCAAACAAAAGATTCCTTAATTAAGAAGTAAGAGTATAAGTATTTGGAGTGGCATTTATGCCACAGTGGTTATCAGAGAGCAGAGGGATACACCACACTTAATTCTTTCCTGTGCTAGAAAGAAAAAGATTGACTGTGCCTTCCTTTGGAGACTGTCCACGCTGCTGTGGAATATTTTAGATTATTTCTCATTCTGTTCACGGGAAGGTAGAAGTGGGAGAGGTGGGTGCAGTGTCCAAGCCACAGCTTAAGAGCCTGTGCCAGACCAAGGTATGACACATTTCACTGATGGATGTCACATTTGAGGTTGCACACAGAAACTTGTACACAGTATTTAATAGCCTCACTTGCACATACTCACCTTCTCCACCAGGTCCTTCAGTTTGGTAACTTCTTCCCCCAGCTTTTCAACACTGCAAATCAAGTCTTTGCAGACTTCAATAAAACTTTCGGTTGGTGCCCACTGCAGTACTATCTGTTAATAGTTAAGTTATTTGCCAGAATTACTGCAGATTATAATTTAATATTCTTTAGTTAACATATCATAAAAAGTGTCAGAAAAAGTTTATAACTGTATTTATGCTGGGTTTTCACTGTGTGATTTATGCACAATATGATCTAGTAGTCTCTATCAGCCTTTGCGGGAACCTTTTGTCACTTTATCTTGCCCATCAGCAAAACCACCAAAAACCAGATCTCACTCCTTTAACTAGGTGGCTTAACTCTTTGAAATAAATTATTTAAAAAGGTGTCCTTTAAAGGAAAGAACATTGGACAGCTCTATATAGCTATACAATAATCAAGACAGTTGGTGAATATTCCTATTTTTCATTTTACAAGGTAGAATAATATTCTAGAATAGAGTAATATACTCTAAATCAATCTTTTTTCTTTGGTTGAAGACCTTGTGAGAATTCTTGAGGAAATGTTTATTCATGGTCTGCACTGGAACGGTCAGCTTACTACATTCTTTATTCAGCTTCTGAAGAAACTTGAGGAATTCATCTCCACTACAAAAATAAAACGATATTCTGTTATTTGTTAAAGGCTGTAACTTTCTGCAAGCTAATTATTACCTGTGAATTTCCAACAGTGGCTAGTGAGTGAATTCGACATGTAATTTCACTGCATAAATAAAAAATCCAGTGTCATTTTAATACAGGGTAGTTAAACACTACATTTAACATCTTAGCAAGTTTTATGATTTTTTTTTTTTTCCCCTCTTTTTTTGTCCCCCCTCCTCCCCCACCTTTTGGAAGGACAAGAAATCATTACGTTATCTGCAATATTCAGCTACACATTGAAAGCTGAAAAAGTGTTACCCAACAGCTTTTCAGAAATGTTCTATTAACCTCCACTTCTGTTTCTAACTCTCACCAGTCCTGTATTACCAATGAAAACATTTCATTACCTCCTGCATGAGTAATTTTGTAACACACTATGCATAATAACGGTAACGCTCTGTTTTCCTGTGCATGTGTACATACAGATCACAGTCTTGCAACACCAGAAATACAGAATTTATAGTAAATTTTATGCTGACATATCAATATTCCTGATCTGCAGCTTACATTTTTTGAGGAAGATGCGGGAGGGGGCACGGAATCTGGTTTGCAGTTTGGAGCTAGGACTGAAATCACTAGGTTAGAGTCATTTAGCCTCCAGCGCAGTGGAAAAAAGAAGAATGCAATAGTACTGCCTTGGCCCTTGGATCTGAAGATACATTCCTCAAAGCCTAAAATATCTGATGTTACCTACTTTGAAGAAAATTTTTACTTAGTGCTCAAATACAAGCAGGAAGACAAATATGAAAATTAGTTTGGTCAGTATCTCCAAAGAGTGGAGAACAGGATAGAAAAATTTAACAGATTAATTTTAATGCTAAGTTTCTAGAGCTTCCACGTAACACTGACTCAATTTACTTTACTGTAAGCCTCAGAGAGTGTTAGTTATAAGTCATGGTGCTGGCCAGAAAGTTGTTGTCATTGACCAGGCAGAGTAAGAAGATCATCCATTTGTTTTTAGAGTGAGCTCTCAAACTCTGAAACTCCTGAAAAGTGTCTGTACCTCCAGTAGAAAAGTTTCCACTAGCTATAAGCCATTGAGATGAACAACAAGCAAGGCCAAAACAAGAGATGATTTTAAGTTCCTACTACAGGACTTCCCATTGCATTTATGGGACGATCTGAATAAATGAATTCAAACCCCAACGTTCCTCTTTTCCCTAGGGCAATCTGCTACTAAATCTAAATGCAACATATTCACACGACCTTACTTGCTGCTGCTTCTGATGGCAAAATGTTCTAAGTGACATTTGCCAAACAGCTAAGTTAAGCTACATGCCAGTGTGGTGCAAGTATCTAAATATAGACTGAATTTAGCGCATGGAGTGTTTTCCTTCAACTTTGGCACAAGATCATTAGTGAGCAAAGTTTCCACCACTGCTCTGGACATCTGTGATTTGCAACACTGCTGAACTGTCAAGACTTTAACGCTTGAAACAAAGATATATAGAAGCATCAGTAGGGATACTGGAGGTTAAAAACCAAGACTGTTCATGGTTTTTCTGAAGATGGGGAAGTAAGAAAGCCTATTAGTTTGTTTTTATAAAATAAATTATTATTTATTTCAGAACACTATAACTGAACTGAATATTTAGGGTAAAAAAACCTAAACACTAAACAAAATAATCACATCTGGAGATAGTCTGAAAGTTTATCCCACATTACTACAGTCAAGCCATGCTCGTGAAAATTTCCTTCTACTTAGGAAGGTAACTTTTTAGCTGGCTAGGATCAGTTATGGCATCTTCTGTGTTTTGTCACAAAGGAAATTGTTTTTAGGAATTCTGGAAGGATTCTCAGCAAAAATGAAGTATGTCATCGGCATGAAATAGGAAGCAAAAAAAAAGGAAAAGAAAAATATTTATACTTCTTCATTATACTAATAATATTTCTTAAAAACCATTTTCACAGAATTTTATATATGTTGCAGTGACATGTTCTTATATTTGCAAATGGAAATAACGTTTTCAAAAAATAATCACTTTTTAAAAGAATTAATGGCTGTCAAAACACCAGTGGCTAAACAGTGCTAGACACTCTGTGAGTTTATAATCAATCAGTTCAACATTTTCTACTATGTTAGTTTTTCTATGACTTAATGACTGATTTTCCTTCTCACAGAATGACTTTGAACAAGCGGGAAGTAAAATCTTTATATAATAGCATGTAAACATAGCCTATGATTTTAGTCTCAAGGTCAGATTCCTAGAATACATGTCAAGCCATTTTCTAGAAAACTATGCAGTGCTTGCCGTAACTGAAATGCTGTCATATTTTGTGTACTTCAATCTGTAATCAATCAATTATTTTCTGTTTTTGAGAACTACATATGATCTAAAACCACATATACTAGGAATTCCATATGTCACTGGTGTGTGAGACTGTACCAGACATCATGCAGATTTTTTTTATTGTATTTGGCCACACATGCAGTCAACTGTTAAACTTTTTGTATTTCTTCACTTATCCCCTCTGTTCAAAATTTTAAGCTGTTCTGCTTGAACTATATACTAAATACCACTATGGACCAATCTGAAAAAAGCATACATTTCTAGCATAAAAATGCATGAAAAACTGGGCAAAATCCTCTTAAACTGCAGCTAATTATCCCTTGCTGAAGAGTCAACATCCTTTTCTAAAGGTGCCTAACCTGGACACCCAGATACCTGGCCTACTACCTCAGCTCAGCAGCAAAGCCTCTATTTTAACACAAACAGCTCAGGTGCTGTCAGAGTATACACGGTGTATTCATATCATGCTGGCTTGTACTCTCTTGCATGCTGGAACTTCAGTTCTTCAGTCTTACAGTACACAAACTACTTTGCACCTGGATTCTCTTCTGGAAGTACAAAGGTACTTGTTTTGATGGAGAAATATCCTCACAGACTAGAAGCAGCATCAAGGTTCTGTACTAGGATATGTTCTGTACAGACTAAACACCCTGCTCTCCAAGCCCACCTAAGTCTTTCAAGAGCTTCTCCAAATGCCTTGCATGTCCTCCCACACCCCACAGCTCAAACTTGGCATCATGCTGCAAAAACGTACCTCAAGCAGGCTGCAAAGTCTCTTTTGTACAAACATAGTCATGGACACAGACACAGTGCCAGTATGAGGAGCAACCGCTTTATGTAAGAATGAACTAGACGGGAGTGGAGTACATACCAGACAGATTCATGTGCCCAAGGCACGAAAGACGATGCTATGGCAGGACCACATCATGACATGACTGCTAACAGTGTCAGTGCAATTCAGCTGCCCCCAAAGGATGGTGACATGTACAGAATGAACTTGAATCCAAGCACATTCTTCAGTCCAATGAACAATATAATTAACAAAAAGTCTAGTCTTATAGTACCCAAATAATCCAGTCAGTGTTTTGGAGAGGGAAGAAATACCTAAACAGAGTAGCATCACAGCTGTCAGGTCACTAGTCGAGAGGGAGATATACATACTTTAAAGAGGAACTGAACCCTTACTTTTCTAGACAGTAGAAAGTTATTTAATGTGTAGGAAGAGTTTTTTCCCCCCAGTACTACTCTAGCCAGGCCACTGCAAATAAGGCAACACAATGCTGTGAAGATGGTGGTGGGACTGGGAAGAAAGAAACAAGCACTAAGAACCTAACTTACTAGTGGTGCAGCTATGGTATGAGGAAGGAGCAGTATCTCCAAACTAGTCTCCTTCTAAGTTAAACAAACACAGTTCAACTGACTAAAGCCACAGTTTTCTGAACTTCTAAAACTTTTGCAAATTAAAATATCAAACTAATCCTGTTTTCAGGAGCAATTCTTCTATAGTTCTGCGAAGTAAAGAGAGGAAAGATATGAGGACAGAATCTAAACTCAAGTCTAGGCCTCTCTTCTGGAAAAAAATGATATTTACACAACAAAATAGAGGATAAGAGGTTTAAGACATTTTAAGACACCTCTGCACTTACTATAGCCTTCACTCTTCTTTTTGTGCTGAATGGGAGGAGTGATCTACCAGTGCTTAGGAGACTCAGGAAGTTTAATAAAAGTTGCTGAGGAATGTTCCTCTTCTCAGCTCAGGTCTGGTTTTCATGGGACTGCACAAGACTATACTAGAAGTATGAGAGGTGTTGCAGAGCTTATGCCTAAGGCTGTAAGAAAGAACCAATAATGGGAAAAATATCAAGTTGGAATGGAAGTTTGAAGGAGTAACACTTTCCTAAAAAAGGTTTCCTTCTAAATGTATTTCTACTGACACATATAATCTATGATAAGGAAAATACCTTATGAAGTTCTTAATTTGTAATGTGAAAAAATGAGGTCTTTCAGAAGTCAGTTAAAACTGCTTCCAGTGGCAAAGAAAAACAAGGAAAAAATCCTGAATCTATACAGAAGTCACGTTCATGATTTAAGATAGACATGTACAAGTAATTAATTTATCAGCTGAAAATTAAAGCCCTGTGCAGACATTATATTCATCTTTCCCTCCCACACATCTTTTTACTGTATCTTACAATCAGACAAATTTGATTGTGAGACTAACAGAGCATGCCTTATCTACAGACACAATCGAGAATTACAGAGACCACACCATGTGGTGTTTGTAAGGGTCCATAAAGCTCTTGAAGCATAGGGAAGCAAGGAGGGCAAGACCCCATTTCCACGAAGAAATAAAAAAAATCTGCTCACTGAAGCCTATCTGAGAAATTAAAGAATGAGTTAATACTGGAGCTCGAGAAGTCGGTTTCAGAGTTTATGATATTTTATGATATTAACACAAGGTAGTGAAAACCCTGCACAGCAAGGTCATGAAACCCTGTCTGAGGAACAAAAAAAGAATTAATCACTCAAAAAGATGTCCCAAGTAATGGCATATAATGGCAATATAACTCATACACAGATTCCTACAACAGGAATCTATGCTTCCAACTTTCTTTGTACAAAACACACCTACCACCAGCTCTCATAATCCACTAACTGGCATATTCTCATGAATGCTACGCACCAGATAAGGTGTGAGAGAATTTTACCCCTGAGCTACAGAGAACCATGCAGTCACCTTAAGTAGTTCATATTTCACTTCCATTTCCTTAGACATAGTTAATACCTCAATTCCAGTTTCATCACTTCAGGGAGATCTCCAATTCTTATTTCCTCCACTTGTAGCTCACTAATAGCATCTAGGAGTTTCTGTTGATCTCCAGGATTTGTAATGCCAATCTAAATTTAAAGAATAATTCCAAATATGATTTACTTTTAATACTTACTAGACGTAACAGTACAGTACCATTTATTGTGCAAGCTTCTAATTATTAAGAGTCAAAAGAAGTTGCTTTTAAGTAATTGCAACCAACTACAATGTATGTAATTGCCAAAGGAAAAAATAAAACCACAGAAGTTATTCAATGATGCAAAACAAAAGTTACAAGAACTGAGGAAAAGAAATTGCACAGGATACTCAGAAAATCTGTTTAAGTTTATTAAAAAAATTAATAGCAGTTTTTACAAATACCCTGTGTTGTTAGGATGTTATGCTCACCTATTTCAGAATCATGTCAGTCATCTTTTATAGCACAATAACCAGTTATCATGATGATGACAAGGCATTAACTCAGAAAGAAAGAATGGGAACTATATGGCATTAACTCAGAACGAATGGGAACTATCAAATCAGCATCAAATGCAGAATTTTACAGGAGGCCAGATTTTAAGAAGGGCTTTTACAAGCTTTTGGGTGTGTATTTTTTTTTCCTGTTAGAGAAACTGGTCTCATAAGATACGATACCTCTTCCTAAAACCTTATTTTCTTATAGAATCTAGTTTAAAGAATAAGTTACTTCTACAAAGAAATCTAGTTAGTTCAAACTACCTCCAAAAAACTCAAATGATCAGAAACTAGTAGAAAGAGAGAATATGATCTGTTAAAAAGACATGCAACTGGGTGTTTCCACCATGTAGAAACCTGTAAAAAGGAGCATACTTTTAAACTCAGAAGAGGTTTCTTGCCTCAAATTAAGACCAAGTCTAAATACTACTCAACATCAGCTTATACAGTCCCTGAGCTCAGATCAGTTCATCTTCTATAGTCTTGGCTAATGTTGCAAACAACAACATAAAAGTTCTGAAGTGTTTGAGGCTTTTTGCCTTTTTTAGCTGAAGAAAATATCATTGGAAGATATACGGTGCGTAACTGAGGTTCTCCAAGTGATGCCTGGGACAGAAAACATTGTCAGCTCTCTCAGATCAAAATTTAACTCATATTTAAAGCCTAGGCTGAGATTTTTCTTGCAGAAAACTTAAATCAAGAAAAAAAATAGTCCATTTCTTAAAAGGGAAGTGCTTCCATAGCACATTCCATACTTTTCGTTGCTCATCTGACAGGCTGCTGTGCAACGCAGGACTTTTGATGTTAGCAACCCTAAGGAGGCTTCTCCACACAAGTGAAAAACCTCGTAATGCCAGCTCCAAGTATGACTTTGCTCCAAACTCTCCAGCCGAGCACCTGGACTCAGCAGGAGTGGACCACTCTGGAACTTGAAACCGCAAGGATCCCAGAGTCTCCAAAGCTAGAACGTACGGGGCTCTCACTGATCTTCTGAGGACCTGAAGCTCCCTGCTGCAGCCTCAGAAATCTGTAAGATATCAGTGTTTGCAGCCTCCCAGCTTCCTGCAATTAGTGCAGAAAGAATTTTGAATGCACAATTGACACACATCAGATCAAAATAGGCAGTCTCTCTTCTTTGGAGGGTGCTGAGCAGCAATTCTAGGAAAGAGGAGGTGCATAGAGAAATGCTTGCTTTGCATGAGACTATTATTTCTGATGCCCAGTGTTCATAATGGCTCCATAAAACAGCTCTCCACCAGGCGTTCAGAAATTACAGGTAACATATAACTATGGGCTCATAAGTGTGTCTTTAAACATTTCAAAACCACGTTATTAATTCTATAGACAAGTAAGTCCTTCAGTAATGTAAAATCCCAACAAGATTAACTGGGAGTTTAACTACAGGTGTCAAGAACTTTTGAGTTTCCAATAGGCTGCCATGGGTACCTGAACAAATTGTACTCAAGTCTCTTTGGTAAATATCACTAGTGGCCTTAAGAGAGAAAAATCTGGGTTTCCTAGAAATAACTTGCTTTACTTACGTCGAGCTGTAAGTTTGCTCAATTTATTAGTTCTCAGGTTTGCCTTGTAGAGCCCTATCTGTTATTAACTAATGTTTTCTTAATGCTTACAAAGCATTACAATAGTCATTTCATGATGCAGAAGTAAGCTGATTGATACAAGAGCAGCCAGTTTACTTCAATTATA